AAGAAAATGAAGAATAACAATTTGTCAGAACTCACTTGACATTCAGAAATTAAGTGTTGTTAACTGAATTAAATATGACAGTATGTAACAGCTGAATTATTTATCTGAAGTGCAATCTCTCACAAATTGCCTCAGTGCTAGAAGAACAGAAGGCACCAAATACAGTACTGTATTTTATAGTTTTCCATATAATGGTTAATAAAATACAGAATGCTAAATCCAATATATTAGGAAATCAGTAGCCCTGCAAAGGAGACTTAGTGTTGATCTTTTAGTCACAGATTTTCTATGAGACTATCCTTAAGAACTACATATCTCAGAAAACTAGCTCTGCTCCATGGTATATGGATTTAGTTTTTACAATTGAAAGTGGCTCCAGCCAACTCCTAACTGGCAAATGTAAATAGCAAACATGATTTTTTTTTTAGTAAAACTTGGGAATTTGTGTACAATAGTTGCCATTTTTTCCCAAGTTTATAATTTCAGCTACAGCCTTTGTAGCCAACCGTGGCAAACCCAGAAAGGGACCATGGAACGGGCACTGAATCTGAGTTAGGTGTGCTGAGACTCCCTGGGGTCTCCACACTGGAACATGGAGGGAACCATTAGGAGGTCTACTGAGATACCTTTAGAAGACTGAGAAGGGGGGAAGAAAGAAGGAATTACCCAAGAAGGTATGTCAAATTGCTTTTTGAAGTGGAACTTCTCAGTGTTAAGCCCATTGCCTCTGCTCTGCACTCTATTTTTGGCAGCAGAGAGATGCATCAGTAGGCTGGGCAATTGGGGGACTCAGTGCCAAGCACAAAGAGCACGTCACTGAGACAGAGTACACGTAACCTTCTTCCTGGGAGTCACAGGCTCAATTATGTCTCAGTTTGACCTCTCACCAGTTACCCTCATAGCTCCACAACTGGAGGGTTGGCCCTTCAGGTTTTGATCAATTGCAATGATTTCTGATGTTTTCCTATTCCGTTTTAGTTTCAAATGAAAATCTTTTCTTTCACAAACTAGATTGCCTAGTCACATCTGGCCAGGGCAGTGCAGACTTCAGGTTGCCAGCAAAGCATCTGGCTTTTGAAGTACCAGTACCATCACAGCCAGAACAGTGCAGGCTCACTGGATCCCCAGCCCTGCCTACTCGGCAAGTTCCAGTAGGGACAGAGGTACCACCTGCAAGACCTTTGCCTGCAGGGGTACTCTGCAGGTCCTTCCTCCCGAGCACTCTGCAGACAATGTGCTATTCAGTCTGCATTTGGGTCCAGACAGATCTGGCAAGCCTAGTTATGACTCATTCATTTTCTTTAGAATCCTGTACTCCTCAAATTTTTGTAGTTTCATAATAAGCCTCCTCTAAGTTAGCTGAAAACTGTTAAACACATCTGTTCCTGCTCCTATTGTCAAAAATAAGACAGTCTTCTGTTTGCCTTCATTTTTATTGGCACCCACTACTTGAGCACAGAGCAATGTGAAGTCTAAATATTTTCCTATTCTATTTCCAGAAAAAGTTTCAGTTTTGATGACTATTTTTCAGTGCTCCAGTCTACCATTCAAGCCACTTTCTTTACTATATTTTTCCTCCTGCTACAATTTAGTGTTGGACCCACAGTATGGCCTGTAAACCACAACCTACGGATGAACCAGAAATGAGCTTGGTGATTTGCTTGTAATTCTGAAAATACCCTTTTACTACAAACAAAAGCATTGCTCAAGTATTTTAATACCTTACAGCAATAGAGAACACTGCTGCAGGAAATGGGAAAACATTTTTAGAGAAAGGTTAATTGTGCAACCATTTCACATGGTTGGCTTCCCCCATGACAAGCTGAAACCTGAATCCCTTTTTTCCCTTCCTCTATGCAGTTTCTTGGACACCTGCACCCAATGCTGCTTGGGATCACTCTCATGGTTTTTACTTATTCTGAGAAAGTGACCTCATTACTCTCTACAACTAGCTGAAAGGAGGTTTTAAGACAGGTGGACATGGGCCTCTTCTCCCAGGCAACTAGCAACAGGACAAGAGGAAATGGTCTCAAGCTGTGCCAGAGGAGGTTTAGGTTGGACATCAGGAAGAATTTCTTCACATAATGGGTTGTTAAACATTGGAATGGACTGCCTAGGGAGGTGGTAGAGTCACCATCCCTGGAATAGTTCAAGAAATGACTGGATGTGGCACTTAGTGCCATGGTCTAATTGACAAGGTTGTGTTCGGTCAGAGGTTGGACTTGATGATCTCAGAGATCTTTTCCAACCTGATTCTGTGAAATAATGTTTGCATTATACATGCTCCCATTTCGGAGCTAATATTCTTATCCAACTCTTCTGATTTGCTCAAAACTGCTACTACCTCTTACACTATTGCTCTATTTATATCCAGTTGCCACTTTGTTGCTTAGGTTAAATACACTTTCATTGATAATACTACATTTAATGTTCAGGAACCTCACGGATTCAGGGTATCTAAGTTGTGTAAATCAGGGTACCTTTAGTTAGTTCTATAAATCCTATACAGCTGCCTCTGACAAACTTAAATGGGCTTCTGTCTCTCTAGGCAGCCTCAAAAGGTCAAAATTTTTAAACCCTAGCATGTCCTTAGTTCCCTGCTCCCTCATTGACAACAATCTGGGTTTGAAGCATTATAACTCTTCACTTTCTGTCCCCAGAGGGTTGTGTTTAACAGTGTTTCCCATTCTATGGAGTCAGGAGCTACCACTGGTCTGCTTTTACTAGCTCAAAATCAACTATCTGACTTTGCCCACCTGATAGAGCAGCCTTCATAGAAAGCTGCCACATGACAAAATATGCACCACTTGGAGTGTGTTACATACTTCTTTTTTCTAATGCCCTGTATGAACATTATAGCTGGGTTTCACTCATGTATGCTGTCCCACTTGACAGTTCTGAGTCCTTTTCATGTCTTAATGAAATGTGTCAACTCCTCTGTATTCACTGACTCTGCACGTACTTGCCAACGAACCACAGAAATACTCAAGACAATTTGGGAATATATTCCACATATGTTCCTTCAGAACTTCCTTCAGAGACTGTAAGCCCCAAGATCAGCTTGGTCTTGCCAGAGCAAAACTGGATGACAGTGATAGGACAAGGTGCAATGGCTCTAAACTAAAAGAGGGTAGGGTTAGATTAGATATTAGAAAGAAATTTTTGACTGTGAGGGTGGTGAGACATCAGAACAGATTGCCCAGAGAAGCTGTGGCTGCACCATCCCTGGAAGTGTTCAAGGCTGGGTTGGATGGGCTTTTGAGCAACCTGGTCTAGTAGGTGGTTTCCCTGCTCATGGCAGTGGGGTTGGAACAAGATGATCTTTAAGGTCTCTTCCAACTTAAACCATTCCATGATTCCATGAAAAGACACTGAACTAGAAGCAGATGACTGAGGACTTCTGTGTACACACAAGCTTTCTCCCTAGGTATCTTCCAGCTGCCTGGGCATTAGAACCACAATCCAAGACTGTCCAGGTTTTAGGATCATAGGAAAAAAAAATTTCTACATAATTCAAAGGGTAGGATGTTCATAGTCATAATATTTGACAGCAGATTGATGGCTTGAGGAAGACTAGCTCTGTGCAGTATGATCCAAAGTCAGTCACTTCAGGAAATGGCCAAATTGTGTCTCCTAGTTGAAATCAGAAACAAGGATGTGAAGGATTCTTTCTCCATGATCTTGGATAAGCTCAAGCCACAGCTTCTATTGTTGACTAAGAAGCTGCAGCCTTGTGTTTTGAGTTGAGAAAATTATTCTTGAACTTTCATATGATAATGTGGCAATAAAATCATCAAAACCAGAAGTAAGACATTAATTAACTGAAAAGCTTTCATGAGGTATGTGATACTGGGAAATACTTACAAGGCAAGCATCTTCCATTCTGTCTCTTCCACTTAGCCATCAGTCACTCCTATTACATAGTCCAAGTCGCCTGCCTTACTGTTAGCTATTTATGGAAAATAGGTCAAGAATGATAATAAGATAATAAACAATAATAAAATGCAGACTGGGAGTGACATTAGGTAAAAAAAAGTTATTTGTAAACTGGTCATTATAATGTATCACATTATATCACTGTGACTAAATGGTTTAATGCAGCAGAGTTTAATTGAAAACAAAAACCATAAAACCCCAAACCACACACTGCGCATTCTTCTACAGTAACAATCAGACAAACCAGTTACTTCCTTGTCTTTGCATAGAATGCAGGATAAGCAAAGAACAGCAAAAGTAAGTAAGTCTGAAGAGAACAACAGAAAATCCTAACCCTCATTTTCCTCCCTTATATCAAGTTTGCAAAATAAATCACTTATTAGAATTCTGTTACCTTACCACTAAAGAAACTGACAGCTTGTTAGACCAAAGCTAGGAGGACCAGACACTTTTTTCTCCCTTGTAAAAGCAATAGGAAAGAGAACAATTGAGTTAAACAGAAATCTTCAATTACTGCACCTTACTCATAAATTCCAGATAACCTTTTCCTCATGCTGCTGTGTGAAAGACCCACACAATTAACAGGACAGACTATATGAATCACATACGTACATGTGGGAAACTGGTAAAGCAAATATACACAGAACAAGTTACCAAGCACAAAGCACAAAAGAAAAATTAGAGGAAAAAATATATCCACTAATCTTTCAATAAAAACAAAGCTTGAAGGTTTATAATGGTCTGTGAAACATTCTAAGAAGTACTGCCTAAAACATGGAGCCCAGCTGATTTCTAACAAAGCAACAAACTCCAGCAATGTAACTATAGAATAAGCCTTGGAACTGAAACCTCTAAGCCCCGGGGATTTTCTCCATAGCTCAACAGACCTCACCTCCTAGGACTTAAGCCTCTTGTGTATCTCCTGTAGAGGATTTTTTTCTCCCTGAAGGAGCTTATTGAGGAACTCTGAAGTTCTTCTGTACCTTTGCCTGGCATTAGATTTCCCTCTCCAAACTCACAGCTTATTGTATAAATGGAAGGGATTTATAGCATGCAGAAACAAATGGTCTATGTTTTCTTTATTGGCATTTATAAAGCTTCCTGAAAGAGAAATGTGTACACGTTAGGCTCTCTGCAGTTAAAAGAAAAAAACTGAGCAAAAAAAGAACTGCTTAGTTAGTATATTCAGAGAATAGTGAGCAGCATGACTCCACTTCTAATTTATAACATGTAAGTCAAATAATTTTTAAAAACTAAACATTTCCTTCTGCTTTGGCTCACCAAAAGGCAATTTTATTGTGAAGCAGCTATATATCATTAAACAGACATGACTACAAGAACAAGAGAGATTGCACAGAAGCCATCTGATTTCACTTTTCTTTATAATTGCTAGAGGAAAAAAAAGGTACATATGCCAGCCCAGTTTAAATGAAGATGTACATCTGAAGTACCCAACTGCAATACTCTCAGCTGAGGTAATTTTAAATTCTCATTACATTTATTACATAATGCAGAATTTACTTTGGTACATGTGTGGCTGCTACCCTTTCGGAAATCAAACTGCCAAACTGTCCATAATGGAGTGAAAAATTTAAAAATCAATATCCAATATGGTCAATCCACTTAAAAATCTGCATGAGTCTTCCATGAAACATTACTATACCAGAGAAAAGGGACTTAAACAGCTCTTAAATACAGTAATTAAAAAAAACTTCACTAGGTTTCAAGGCAACAAAATGAATTCACTATTTGACCTCTATATAAATAAATGCAAAGATTTCTTTGCATTATTTTTGTTGATTCTGTACAAGTTTCAGTAATTAATTTTATTTAAATATTATTCTTACAACAATTTAACCCAAGACCTTAATGAAAATGAAGAAGTAAAGGTTGACAGTTCTAATATAGAACTTCCACAACAGTTATCTTAACAGTGACTAACAAGGAATGGTATATAAAAAGATTTAGAAATTACACATTTTAAACTGAAGATGTTTTATCTCAGAGTCATTATGAAGGTGACTTTTATCTGTTAGTATGCAACTTCACTCTTCACCTGCCAAACAAAGTGTACAAGTTATCACAGCAAAATATACAGAATAATTGCCTTTGGCCTTGGTCTTACAAAGACCTATTTACACATTTGAGATAAGCAAGCATCTTCTTCCCTTTTAATTCTATACATGTGTTCAAGCTTTAAGCCTATACTGGTATCTATAAAGTCTTGTGACACAAAAAGTCTCTCAAATATACACCTTGGACCATTGGAGTATAGTGGCTTTATATATGTGAACATAACTTCTGCTAAATTAACTCACTCTTCTTCACATGGGTATCTCATGAAGCCCTCATTTCCATAGTTAACTCCTGGGTGCTGATGGCTTTGACAGCTGAAAACAGCTATTAGTCTGGGGGAATAAATCAAATCATTGTGCAAAGACACTGATGTGCCTCAAATTGCCCCCAAATGCAATCGGACCTGCAAATAAGAGACACGTGATTAAGTAAATACCACAAATCATGTGTGGGAAGACTGCAGCTGCTCAATGATCAACCCCCACATGCTCACCATCTTATTCTTTGGAGTTTGTGCCATTAATTGAACACCTCAGATCGATTTGTGCTGGAGGAGGTGTTTTACATAGTTTTGTTTTCAATTCTGGTTCTTGGACGCCCACTGCCAATGGCAGGTTGTTTCAATGGTAAAACAGATCTCAACAGTGAAGGGTTAATGCTGTCTATGCATAACTGAAACAACTCAATATACCAAAGGTTTAAAAGTCCTTCTGTCTTGTGACAATCTAGCAACAAGACAGATTTTTCTCAGTTAAATACTTAACCCATGCCCAAAACGAATGCCTACTATACAGAAGGCAGTTATTCATACCACCATTAGAATTTCCGAGCATTGACAAATTTGCAATTAAAAGAAAAGCAAGATACAATTGTAATCGAGTACATGACGTTTTACAGAAGGCCTCATTGTGATAAGTTATATACAGCATAGTGTTCTTGTTTTCCTTAAAGTGCTACTATCATCATACTGATACAAGATCATCTATTGTTTTAGAAGGTCCTTTAATACAGCACCAGCACTGGCATCAGGGGACACTGGCAGTGGTGTAAAAGTAGGCAGTGCATCAGAAATAGGTTTCATAAGCAGATGTCCAGAACTACTAACTGGTGTTATGAGAGGCACTGCTGCAGATCGAGGTGCTAAAAATGGATTTGCATCTGGTCTTCTGCCCACTGCCGAGACTGCAGAATCTGGAAAGTAAAAAAAAAAAAACAAAAACAAACCTAAACCAACAATGAAAGTACTTTGTTAGAATCTACCCAATTTTACAGCATTTGTTTTAAAATTGCCTATCACTTTTGCAACATGACAGCCCTTGAAAATCTCCTTGCCATGGACTATATGTAGACACTCCGAAAGACTTTCAATCTCCCTGTCTTCTCTCATAGAACCATAGAATCGTTTAGGTTGGACAAGACCCTTAAGATCAGTCAAGTCCAGCTGTTAACCCAGCACTGCCAAGTCCCCCACTGAAATTCCATAACAGCTCAGGTTACCCAAAAAAAAAAATCAAATCTACAAATCTCTGACAGGCAACATGAACACCCTTTGCAGTTCACTTCACACATGCAATGTCAGACATGAAGTATCTGTCAGGCTGGCTCCAGCACTATGCAGAGGCACAGGACCCCTGCACATGCACTACAACACAGTGCACAGGCAGGTTTCCCAGCACATGACGCACTGGCACAGCTTCCCCAGGGTCAGCCCCAAGAAAACCCCTGCACACAAACATCACAGACAGTGAGTCACCATTTAGTTGTCCTAGACGAGGAAATTTTTTTTTTTGCCAAGTAAAATAGATACTTCACCTATTATTGTACTGCTGCATTACAATAAAAGAAGAGCGAAAAGAAAATCAAACTTAATTTAGGTTTATTTAAATAAATAAGTACTGCTTTCAAGGATAAATTGGCATTTTGGAGTAGACATTTACACTTTGTAATATCCAACTGCTTTAAGTGACTTGAAAGAGCATTTTTTAGCACCTCTCTGTAGATACATATTATATGTAGGGTTTTGGTGTTTGGGTTTGTTTTGGGTTTTTTTGAGTTTACAGTAGAAAGTTTCAAACAAAACAAGCTTCTGCAAATCAGCAGACCTATATTAAGGTGAAGTCTTAAATGCATGTAAAAAAATAAGTACAAACTGGACTAGTTAAACTGAAGATGGGGATCTTAAACTACTTACACAGAAGTGCATTAACATGCATAATAAGCCTAAGTGTTCTCTGCTTTAGGAAACTCAAAGTCAACACTCTTGCACAGCTTACAAAGATTTCATAGCAGGCCATACACTTAACTGATTTTATTTCAGTCCTCTCTGAACAACGAGGTTCTACACAACAGAGAGACACTACAAGGTTGTGTTACTTGCATTCTTCACTCACTTCGACACAAAGCTGATCAAACAGGGATGCTGGGAATCAGGACTGAGTTCATTGACACACCATACAAAGCTGTCTGCACAGCATCTGTTTTGGGTCTAACAGGTGCTGTTAAAGCCTTTTCATATCAAAGGCAATTTGGTCCCTCTAATCTTCTGTATTGAGATTTTAGAAAATGGGGTATAGAAGCAGTGGGAAGAACAGATGGGAAAAGAATTGGAAAAAAAAAAAAAGAGAAAGTAGGAAATGGTTGTGGGAGAATAAATCAAATTCATATTTCACAAGTGAGGAAGCACAGAATCATTAAGATCCCCTTTAGTTATTGAAATTCTGTGGAAAGATTTCAATGTTTCTGCAAATGTTACCTTGCATTTGACTGTTGGATGGAGTACTGCTAGTTTTACCAGTCCCTGCTGCTCCTAAAGGTTTCATATCATGAACAGAGAGCTTGGGTGGGGGAAGGCCTGGGCGAGATTCAGTTTCAAGGAATTTCACGAACAATTCTGAAAAAGACTGCAAGAAGCCACTAGTTACTATATTTCATTGATGCTCTGGTGAAAAGCACTAAGTCAAAAATACATAAATACATAAACTAAAACGCTGTCAACAACCTCCAAACAATTTTGTACTGGTACTTAGTACTAAGCAATCCTTAGTGAGTAACAATGACATTTATTTTCAAAATACATAGTTTGTTGATGTCTCACTAAGTGGTGTTTATGTAAAACTGATAAACTCTAAAGATAACATACATACTTCCACCATGGTTCTGTTATTGATTTAAGGCAATTGATTCAGAAATCCACACTGCTACTGACATCACAGTCATTGAATAAATGAAGAATGGAATGACTAAGGTGTCGGTAGCATCGCAAGATACAGTTTTGCTTAGTAAAGCCTGTACTATATGTACAAAAGCACTAATTTTCTTCTTTTATATCTATAGTTAATCAGACCACAGTCCTCTGGTGGCCTACATGCCTGCATTCTTTTAGTGGGAAAAAAACAACCCCTACACTTCAAGATGATTTACAGGAATCGATTCTCAACATTCCTAGCTCGATTGAGCAAAAAACCAAAGTTAATCCAAAAACGCCCAATCCCACAGTGCTCAATCCTTGAGTGCATTATTTACTTGTCTGCAAAACAGAAAGTTTCATAAACTGCTCCCATGGATTATGCTATGAGATCTGTTCCTTTACAGTATTTGAAAATTTAAAACATTAACTTTATATGCTATAAGTAAGAGGCACTAGCTGTAGCAGCTGAAAAAGCTTTTCAAATTTAAATTTCAAGGACATATGGGAACACAGTCATCAAAATACAATGTCACGGTCTTCTATACTGTTGAGCACTGCAGAATTCCAGACTCAACATGTATTTAACTTCCAGCACTGTTAAGTTTCCAAGATAAAGTCCATACTGTAAGAAGTCAGTGATCCCAGGAACCAGTAGAACAGTAAGTGTTTTGTCTATTATCCCAAGACTTAGCATTGAAAGTTTTCCAATGTCTACATATTTACTTGGTTCAGAAAAAAAATTTTGCCAAAGCAGTTGCATACACCAAACAAACAGTGCAAGATACAGTAGCATCAGTAAATTAAGCTCAATATACTGGTGAACCAAACATCAGCATGAATATGCAACTGCCCCATTTTTCCAGTCAAGGAGAATGCACAATTAATTCTTACACTATTAAAAATGTTCTGCTGAGTTGGCCTCAAAGGTGTACTGGGAACACTCTTTGACCCAGCTCCTCCACCAAGCCAGCCAGTCACCCATCTTGTAACTCCTCTTTGCTCTTCAGATAATAACTAGAAAAGTAGTTTAAAAAACAAAGTTAGGAAACAGAAAAAAAAGCAGTAGGTAAAAGAAGTGCAGCTCCTTATATTTATTCACTAACACTATGTGAGAATCCTACAGATACGTAAAAACTAAAATTAGTGTAAAAACTATGTTCTCTGCCTCCCAAAGACTGGCAGCATAAAGACCTGGAGCTTTATTTAAAGTTATAAGCCCCACATTCTTCACAATTACTACTGGTACACATACAACTGGCTTACTTTTCTGTAACTGATATATTATACACCAGCACAGAGTTAAACTCCTTCCTTTCTACATTAGCATTTTCCTCATCAAAATGAGATCTGCTTTATTAAAATGATGTTATCAAAAGATTCCCTTAAGATCAGCATGTCCCACATAAAAAAATGTGAGATGAGAAAACAAAAAACATACTTTACCCGCCAAGAAGTGCAGGGACAGTCGCATTTAGTTTAGCAGCAAGTAATTCTATTTTCAGGTAAGGATACTGCAAAGAAAAAGGAAGCCTGGTCTTCTGCAAAGTATTACCTGATCAAGTTCTTCCTTTTTTATTCCCAAGATACTTCCCATTAACCTTAACACTTCAAGACGTTTATTTTTTGGAGTATGAAAATGTCCAATAAAGAGGTTTCTCATCAGGAGCCTGCAGAACAAAGAAAGCTTATTATACAATCTCCTGTCATATAACAGCTGATACCATAATATTGATGCATTTATTCTTCACTCTCTTGCTTAATTTGCAATAATCCAAATAAACAAATCAAATACAAAGAATTAAAAAGGTACCTCACCCACTTCCTCCTCCCACAAGTTATCACATTTCTTACACAGTACGTGTCACCTTGGACAGTATTCAGCAATACTGCAGGCAGTGAGGTGAGACTGAACAGCACATGGGCAAGTTTTAATGTACCTACTGTATCAGGGAAAATGGTTATTCTAAGATGTTGATTCAGGAGAGCAAATGACTATTCACAACCACCAAGCAACTGAACAATGTCAAAATAATGAAAGTGTAATTACAAGCTCACATACAGAAGTCAAGTTCTGCATACTCTTGCAACTGTATTAGTAACATATCTGTACAGTGAGAGGAATAAACCCCAGAAACTTAACACCAAATCTTTCATTAAAGACTTACTTGTCCACTTTTCCTTCTGTGCTGTTCATAAGGTTCATTAGTTTATTTTGTACATCTTCTAGCATTTCTCTTCTGATCTCACCTGTTATGCCACAGCAAATAAACAAAAATTCAAACTTTGAAACAACTGTTGCAAAATTTACCAATAACATCACACTTTCATAATAAAAATATGCTAATATTGTTATGGTGCTTTTAAATAAAAAACAAAACTATAAAATCTATTTGTTTTTCATTAAAAAGTGTCAACTTAGTAAGTCATTATTATATGAAACTGTAAGCTAAAATTTCGGGAATGATACTCAGTGCTGAAGTACAACAACACACAGAAACTAAATCCATTGCAGAAGGTCAGAACTGCTGAACTGCTCTGTTCTACACAAATAATATGCAACTGGAAAGAAACTCCTGAGCAGGGTCTGAAGTCCTGGGGTGGCAATCTTTTTCATAACCTGACCAAACTACACATTGGTATCAGGTCTCTTTGGTCTCAGCCCTTAACCTCAACTATTACCTAAGTCCAGCTATTCTGTATACTCTGAGGTTGCTAAAGCCTTGAAGCACTGAGCTCTCCAGTCTCCCAGGAAAATTCCTGGCCAGCAGAACAACATCAGCAACTTGTGGGTCTCTTCTGTTAGGACCTTTCCCACTCCTGTTACTGATGCAAGCTCTGGAAACAGCACTCTGGGACAACCTAATGCACCCTAGAACCAATGCTGTGCTTCACCATTCAGTATATTGGCAAGAGAGGCAGACATTTGCAAGATTACCCCCACTTCTGGGAACAAAGACACTCAGTTAAAAATGGAAGAGATGAAACGCCAAGTTACCATGAACCAAAGATAAAACTGAGAGGAAAATGGCAAACACCTTAGTCAGGCATCACAGCTTGCAAACTGAGTGAATAGGCCAGTATTAAAAGTTAACTAATGTGAACTTGTCTAGGAGTGTGCTAGGAGTCAGTCACTACACACATTTTTGTATCTTTTTGCACGCTGGATCAAAGGTCTGATGCTGTTCTGTAGCAGCTGCAATGAAATCTGTTCATTTAGATATCACAGCACTGATAATGACCTTCCTGGTCTAGACAAACACTCTGGTTTTCCTCATCAGAAACATGAAACAGGAACTATTGGAAGAGTAAGGGGATTTTAGATTCTGCATTCACCAGTGCTGTAACTTTTCAGCTTTCTAAGATTCCTGATCTTCATCAAGGACTTGTCTACTGTCTACACAACCGAGCCTCCTGCATCAGTCTTTAATAAGGGAGATACAAATGTAATAACTCATTTCTTTAAAAGGAGCCATGGCATGACACTGTTATATTCACTGTTGCCCAACAATTTCACAGCACCAACTTTTCTACCATTCGAAAACTCCATTAACACAAATTACTTGTTAACTCAAATACACCCAATTACTCCAGTCATACAGTGTCAGTAACTCAGGCTTCTTCTGACTTCCCCATGAAGCTCATAAAAATAAAGCTCATAATAGAGAAAAAAATTCTCCTAAAAGTTTTATTTGCCATAAATGTTTTACAGCGTTCCAACTGTAAGGAAACAAGACAAAAAATTTTCTCCTTATAAAAATGCAGTTGTATTAGAAACTGGGTAGAAGTATCTGTTGTTTGTCTGCACAGTTTGTATAAAACCCAGTGTAATTTGGTAGAAAAACTTATCTCCCTTAAATCCTTACATGAAGTATTTAAGAACACCGGCAGTTACAAGTTCTTAGACAAGAAAGCAAATAATTACATACAAAGTACAAAGAATTCTGGGAAGATAAACTCCAAATGGCTTCACCTCAAGACAACAACTGGGGTTCTGCAAGATACTACCTCTGAAGACACTGTTTTCCTAATAAAAGTACAAGTAAGCCTTATTCACACAAAAGCTTGACTAATATAACACGGACTGCCCACGTGAAGACCAACTCTACCCTACAGTTGTATAAGATGACGTGATCAACTTTTTTTCCTACAAGGCTGAATGCTTATCTCCAAAGCCTATGGAAAAACTGCTGATCCATTAAATTTTCCTACTATTTTAATACTTCTTGGGCTCATGTTAATTAAAATTACTTAATTAAAAAAAAAACAAGAAAAGATACTTTATCTTGTAGTTAATTTCTAAAAAGCCTCCATATCTTCATAAGAAAAGTGACTTATGAAATTTTACACCCCTCAAATCACCTGGGATGCATGAAAAACATTCCACTCCTGTTTCCACAACTTTCAATCATTAATAAGTGCATGCCACAACTGTGTTGACAAAACAAATACAGAGATTTTGTATTTATACACATTAAAGAGCCAGGTTGTGAAATGGATACAACCTAATATGCCCTATTTGAATATTCCATGTCTTAACAGAAACATTTTACTTCACAAATATCAATTTTGTGCAGTACAGAATAGAATGAACTAACCAGGGTTGTGCTGGGAACACACAGAGTAAGCTCCTTATTCAGAGCAAGTTAAAAACTAAAGAAAAAAATACATTTTACAACAATGTATCTTGTAACAACCACATCCATGTGCATTTAAATCCATTTCAATAGCGTGACTGCTCTTCAGCATTCCTTTCTCAGAATACCAGGGTGAGGCACAGGAGAGTTAATCCATGGTTTCAAGGTTTAAATTTACTTCAGATTACACTACTTTGTAAATATGCTTAAATAGGACCCCAATAATTAAAGGAAAACACTGGTAATATAATTACAGAATGATAAGAGTTGTAGGAGCATACACAGAAGCTGAGTTATTTGGATAACCATAGAGTAAAAGGGAATAGAAAAAGTTAAACTCCTAATGTCACAAACAGATAAACAAACAGCATTTGAAAAGATTTCAATTAAATCTTACACTGTTGCTATTTCTCTACCAAGAAAGACAATGGTGTGTTGCTTTTTCAATTTTTATTCATGTTATGAATTTTAAAACAAAAGCATTAATAATTAAATGAAATGTTACTGCTGTTTTTTATTTTTTCCTGTCATAAATGTTTATATCAAAGAAGATCAACTTTTAAGAACCTATTCCATTCACAGTGACTATGCAACTCTATCATTAAATGTATTTTTTAAATGGAACATTTCCTTCTCAAATAGAATCTTAGAGCTGAAAAAGGACTTAAACACGTACTTTGGGTATATGAAAAGACTAAGTAACAAAAAAAACCTGAGCCAAAATTCAGCATGGACTGCTGTAAGCCAGACATTTACAACAGTCTCCATAATTTGTTAACCATTTAGGGCAATCCAGAAAACTGCATCTGGTACATCTTATACTTTTCCATTAAAATCCCTTCTCCTGCCAAAAGAATCCATAAAGAAATCCTTCAAAAGATTTGGCCAACAAAACTGTGTCTGGGAATGTATCTGGCCAATTTTCAATATGACATTATATGTTTTCTTGTGTAAATAGAGAAAATGAAGTGGTCTCTTTTTTTTTTCCCATAAAAAATTGTGATTTATTCTACAACAACGTTAAAGTGCTGTTTCCTTTATGAAACAATCTCATTTCACATTTTTTATCAAGTAAATTGCTCGCCAATACAACACAGTTTGATAAAATACTGAGGTTTAGTTTTCTCTCCAAGTTCAAACCTCTCCTGCTTTTGTATGCAAGGGTTTGCAATCAAAATTAAACAGTAATGAAGAGCTTCCCACTTAAGAGTGCCATATTTGCCTATTCCAAAGTTAATTTCAAACCAGGGTGTCTGTGAACTGTCTGTAGTGAGATGTAAATGTCTGTAGTGAGACAGATATACAGATGAGTCAATTCAAAAATAATCAGTAGTTATGCATTCCTGTAGCAGCTTGAAATTTAATTTGAACTTGGGGAGTGCTCCTATGATGCCCACTTGGATGCCAAATTGCACTTAGACACTAAACTAAATTTAAGTAAGTACGCATTCAAATATGTAGTGAAAAAGTTGTAAGTTTTTGTAGAGTTCTTGCTGGAGAAGACTTTCAAGTGACATTTCATGGCAACTATCTGATCATAAGCTTCAAGAAAACATCACTTATTTCAAGAGTAAGACTAATTATAATTTAAAAAAAAAAATAGCAATAAGTAGTTGTGTATGTTCAGAGCAAGAGTTACGACTGCATCCAGCTGAGATGAGAGTCACATCTGTGTAAGAGCTGCTCCCTCTCTTCCCAATTGCACACCCTTTCTCTTTATCTCACTGTATTCCTGTGTCAAATATGGTAGTTTACTTTGGAAGATCTGACAACATTTGGTATTCCACAGACTTGTAAAAAAGACACTTACAGAGCTAAATCAAGGGCTTTGGTATTTACAGACTTTCTTTTGAGAAAGATCCCTAACAAAAGGTAAACATACTTTTCCATATCTGCTTTACAAACAAGGAAGTCCTCAAAACTCTTTTCCTCAGAGTGTATGAATTTTGTTAAGTTTCTAGGAATACTATATACTATATTGTCTCCTCAGCTGCCTGAAATGTTTTAAGCAGAAGTAAATAAATGTAGTTACCTTCTTTCTTAAGCTCTTCAATCTCCTCCTCTTTGATGTCAAGCTGCTCAGTAAGCCTGGATGCTGCATCCAGGGCAGTATTTGCCTCTTCTAAACTTTCCTGAACAGAGGGTAAGAAAGGGACAAAAAGAGAAGCAAGGGAGATCACTGTCACAATTACATTAATACAACACACAAACTAACACATGCAGAGACTGCAATCACTTGTTCTTCTGAATAATTGCATTGTAAACATCCTCAGAAAATGGATGGTCAGCAGAGGAACGCTACTTTACTTGCTCAGTCAAGAACTAGCATTCGGTTTCTTAGGCTTCAATTTCATTATTCAGCCCACCTGCAGTGACACAACTTTTTCTTCTAGGTTTTCTGCTTTTTTCTTCCATTCTGCACTCTGTTTTTGGTGTCTCTCCAGCTCTGCTGAATACATAGCTTTTTCTTCTATAGGGTTAAAAATACAAAACAAAACATATCTTAATTAACATTTAACTCTTCTTGGGATATGTAACTTGCAAAACCTCAGCTTTATCATATCTGGTCTTCATGAGGTAGAATTAAAATTTTACAAATGGGATATTGATCATCAGCTTTCAGCGGGCCAGAATTGGTTTTATAAGTATTTTAAAAGACAACAGATTCTGAAATTCTGGCTATCAAGAGGAAACCAGGAAACTACTGTTTCAAAAGCAGCAAAATATGTTAACTACTCCAGATGGAAAATGCCTGTTGCAATCTTTGCTATTTCTTGACAAACCTTACCCTGTTGAAACTGCTCTAGTACCATCTGCAGGTTGGCCAGAGACAGTGCATACTGCTTCACTTGGTCCTGGGAGATGGTCAGCTGCATCACAGTTTCATCTCTCTGCTTGGAAACCAGGTTTAACTGCTCTTGCAAAGACTCAACTTGCAGACTAGCCTGATGACTTAATGAAAATAAAATACATTACTTAGGAAGGCAATAATAGAAGTTATCACAGAGAAAATTAAATCCCAGCAGAAACAGCTCAGCATGAATTTTTCAGCCCAACTTCTAAAATTGAAGGCATTTTTTTCCTGATCCCTCTTCAAAAACAAATGAACAAAAAACCCACCAAAAAACACAAACCAACCTAACAACAGATTTTAAGTAAATCTGGCAATAAAATTTTGACAGTCAAGAAAACCCCTCACCCAAACAACTGCTTTTGTTTGAAATGCATTAGGAAAAGAAAAAAATCTAGTATCTGTAGATACTAACTGAATGCCCCATTTAGCTTCCCATCATGCAGAAATATTATGAACCTGATCTCCTCCTATGCCATTCTTTTTAGCGAGTGCATATCAGGTGGGAAATAGGCAGTATTTCTTAAAAGGCATTTGAAAAGTTTATGAAGAATTAAGAAATACTGATTTCACACAACCATCTCCCAACACTTCCACTTTCTCCACAGTTTTTCACAATGAGTTCTGCATGTTTATGGCAAATAAATAAAAACACATGATTGGCTCTGGCCTCCCAGATCCTGCTACCCATGACAGTTTTGTTTCCTCAAGTGCTTAGAATGTTGTGGAATGGCAATTCAGTAAAACAGAGCCATCAGTACCAGTCTAGTGAACTGTGACATTTAAAAGGCTACCTGGCATTCTCCACTGCATTAGATGAGGACACGAGTTTTTCTTCCAAAATCAAAACCTTCTTTCTTAGCTTGACCTCTCTGTCTTCTGCAGCCAAAGCTTCCCTCGTGTAGGAATCTTCCATTTCTAAAAGGTGATTTCGTAACCTCTCCAGCTCCTGGTTCAGGCGCTGCTCTTTCTCATGCAGATGCTGCACCTGCGTACAACACACCTTAAGTTGCTTGGACTACCATTTTCCATAAAAATAATTTAAGCAAATGTAACACATGTCCATTGAAGCATACTGCGTATGTATTGATTTTAAAAGCTTTTAACTAGTGACTGCTACTCAAAATAATGCAGAAAATACCACAGACACAATTTCTTACTCTTTATTTCTTGCCACTGTAAATTATTTAGTGATGTACCTCACTCTGAAGGGCACTGCTCTCCATTTGCTTCTGTTTGAGTGCTACCATGACTTGGTCTCTCTCTTGCTGAAAAGTAACAGCCTTTTCCTGCATTGACTTAACTTCATTTAACAGCTGATTCAATTCTCCTGTCTTGCCCTGTTGAAGACACAAACACACATTTCAAACATGGCCAACAGTTTTACCAAAAGAGACACTGTCTCTGCTCTGAAGAGTGTAAAGATGCTACTGATCTAACAAGGAAAAGGGCGGTACACCTATGGCCTTACAACAAAGGAAAACATTCAGGAAAAATATTCTTTTGAAGTTATTTCACTCATATGTTACATGACAAAGTAAAAGTCATTGCTAGAAGACAATATCCAAGGCATTGCCTCAACTGACTTCAGTGAATAGATACCAGCTCTCTCAAATGAGGGACAATGTATTATGTACAAAGTGTCTCAGACACCTGATACTTGAAAATTTCACTTTTCCCCCAGTGTTTGGAATCTGTTCTCTGTGATACCCATTTCTTAGGCCACACACAAGTAAAGCATCGGTCTAGGTAAGTCGACTTGTCTGAACTTCAGAAGACTAAATGCACAAAGAAATCTTTATAAACAAACCATAAGGTGACCTCACTCCCAAAGATTAGCCTTCAGTGAATCACAGCAATGTCCATCGAATTTTCAGGTGTCAACTTTCCAAGAATAATGAAGTTTCCTACATGTTTACACTAGCATATAAAGAAGTGTGACTATGTCAGCTACACAATTCACACGTACAGGTAAATGAATTTCAGTTATTTGAAACTTTTCAGCTTGCTCCTTCATTTGGTTTGCATATGCTTTTGAAAGCAGTTATTTTTATTGAGTAGGTCAGACAGAAGTAAACAAATCTTTGATTTTATCACTAATGCTTAAAGTTTCAATTATTAGCTTTTAGCAATCAAGCTAAATATAGCAAAATTGTTCTTGCAGTAGAACCTTCAGACAAACCTTCTTTTTATGTCCTGCTATCTTCTGACACATGCAGACACACAAAACACAGATCTGCTTGACTATTACTTTCCCTAGTTCTCCACGGCAAACACAAAGGGTGCAACAGGAACTTCTCTGATTTGTGCAACAAAAATGTGCAGACAAACATTCCATGCTTGTGAAACCAGAAGCCTTTTCACCAGGGAGTGGAAGTGTGCAGGCCAATGGCATGCAACACAAAGAACCCAGCCAGACACTGCACATTTTCACGAGTTTGAATAAAAAACCCCAAAATAGTAACACTGTCAAGTATCAATTTTTCCACATGCCAAATTGTGGAAAAGAAACTATTAAATCAGTGTGTCCAATCTTATCTTTTTTTTTTTTTTTTTTAAATGAAGTCTCCCCATTCTTCTGAGATGTTGTAAAGCAATCCCACTGGAATAACAAACACTAGAGGAAAGTACATTGGAAAATTAGTTATGCTGGCCAGCTCTGCAGAAGTGTGAGCACCATAAATTCAGTAAAAATCACACCTAATGAACAACAGGGCTACAGTAAAATATTAAGTAGCTGTTAAGTAAATAAGCAATTTCCAAATAAACGAAAAATTTAGTTTATGGTTGCACAATTAACAGTTAACATGGTAAACCACTCACCTGCTGACTTATAATTTCTTAATCTTGCAATGGGAGGATTTTTGGTAATGCAGTAAGGACTCTCAAACATATTTCAGGCAAACACTTGAGGGCTACATGTACACAAAAACACATTACCATAGGTCTAATTTTAAAAGATAGTCATAAATATGAATGGACATACCTGTTCCTTCTCTTTCAACAGCTTCTCAAAAGCAAGAGCTTTCTCCTTCATTGAGTGAGACTCAAACTCTTTCTCTTTCAGCATCATTGAGAACTGCATATTAGTTTCCTGAAGTGCCCGGAATTCTGTTTCTTTTTCCCTACACCTTGCAACTATGTTTTCATTTTCTTCTTTCAGTTTTCGAATATCCATTTCTAAAATTAAATTTCTTTCTTTTAGATTAGTCACAGCTTGCTTCAAAAGCTCATTTTCATTTTCTTTGTTACTAAGATTTTCAGTCACAGAAAGTAACTGATCACTTTTAGATTTAATTAATATGTCTTTTTCCCTAAGTGATTTCTGTAACACATCATGTTTTTCTTTGATCTGCCTCATCTCTGACTCAGTCCCTTCTTGACTCTTTCTTTCAATCTCTGATGCTGTAGCAACAGAATCAGATAATCGCTGATTGTTTTCCTGAAGAGTCCTAATAGTTGACTCTTTTTCTTGCAACTTTTTTTTCAGTTGTTCCAGCTCATTTTGAAGGAGTTTGCACTCGTCACCGAGTACTTCAGGAGGACTGTATTGAACACCAGAAAGCTGTGGAACAGTGGAAGCTGTTGCCACAGATGGTGTTACCAAATCAAGCTTACTCAGGAGGAGATCCTTGGTGTTATAAAGCTGTCCTATGCTGTGCTGAACTTGTGCTAATTCCTGACTAAAACTTTTCAGCTTTTTCTCATTCTGTTCATAACTCTGAATCAAGCCATTATAATCTACCTGCAGCTTTGAAGTACTGTCACTTTCAACTGAAATTTGTGCTTGAAGTTTGTGTAACTCTTCTTGGAGGTGAGCTGACTCATGTTGCATGTTCTGAACTGTGGTTATTACTTGTTGTTTCCACTCTTCCATTTTCTTTACTTGCTGTTTTAGTTTATCACGTTCTTGTAGAAGTTCCTCAAACTGGTTACTGTTCACACCTCCTGGCCCGTTATCAGCACCTGTGCTGGATGTCTGCAAGACAGTCAACAAGGTTTGGCATTTCTGACTTAGGGCATCTATTTCGATATCCTTTTCTCGAATGATACGGGATAAATTCTGAATAGTTTCTCTGGACATGTCTTGACTGCTGTTTTCAGATCTAGTAGATAACTTTTGATTCTCCTCTTGCAACCTCACCAAAGCTGCTTCTTTAGCAGCAACTATGTCCATGATCTTACGATACTCTGCTTTTATCTGACTGTTTTCTCTTGTCTTTTCACTTAGAACTGCTAGTACTTGTTCTCTTTCCCTAACATAAGCTTGCAGCTGCTGCTGAAGACCAAGAACATCCTGCCTATAGGAAGCTGAGGAAACTCTAGCATTGAGAGCTTGGATTTCTAAATCCTTCTCTTGAATGATCTGAGTAAGTTTCCCAACTTCATCCTTAGACAACTGATCAATTTGCTGACTAAGAGAAATATTTTTTTCATTTAGAAGCTTAATCTCCATCTCCCTTTCTTTGATACCTTTTACCAATCTTTCAATTTCAGCTTTAGATAAGTCATGTTTTTCATTTCCATTTTCCCCATTAAGAGTCTGAACTTTGGTTTCCTGAAAAAGATCAGAAGAATCAGTCTGAATAATCTGTCTCTCTTTGTGCAACTGAGTTTTAATTTGTTCAATTGTTTTCTGCAAATTCTTAATTTCCTCATCTTTCTCTAAAAAGAGTCTTTCATGTGTGACATTCATTTGCTCACACTGAAATCTGGACTCATCTATTTCTTTTCGCTGCTCTTGCAATGACTGCTGAAGTTTCACTGTTGTTTGATTCTGATCTTCTATAGTTTTTTTGTGAACTTCTATTTCTTCTTCAAGATTATTTTTTATCATTTTTAACTGTGTTACCTCACTTTCAAGTTCAATAATAATATCTAAAGTTTTAGGCTCAACCACAGGCGTGGATCTGCTTTGCTGGTCCTTAAGGCGTTCAATTTCTTCTTTCAAATGATTATTTTCTTCCTTCATGACTGCAAGACTTCTGTCTTTTTCCTCCAAATTCTGTTTGAAGACATCCTGCTTTTTTGAAACTTTCATATATTCCTCAAGTTCCTGCTTCACCTGTAATGCTTCATTTTTGTATTTTTCAATAAATACCTCTTTCTCTTTCAAGAGATCTGTCAACTGCTTTTGTCCTCCTAAGCTAGTAGTCAACATCTCTTTTGTCTCTTGATGGTCCGTTTCCATCTGCTCAATGCTGCTTTTAAGTTCAGCAATCTTGAAGTCTTTCTCTTGATGGAGCTTAACCAGGCGCTCATGTTCAAGCTGCAGTGCAGTGGTATCCATACTGCGGGCGTTCGATAATTCCTCAATAGTTTGTTTATACTTATGTGCTTGTTCCAAAAGCCTTTTCTCTGTCTGGTTTAATTCGCTCTCTAACTGTCTTTTTTCCATTTTCAAAGCCTCCACAACAGTGTCTTTTTCCAAGGAAACTTTATTTTTCTCAGAAACGGCATCACTTAACTCCTGTTTTAGTTCTTCAATGGTTGCTGTGAGCTTTCCATTTTCTGTTCTGAGATCAGACAGAGACTTCTCTAAGTGTTCATTCACTTGTTTATTTTCTGAAATGTCATTCTGTAGTTTTGCAATTTCTTCTTCTCTTTCTTTCAGAATCAGATCCTGACAAGCATAGTTAGATTCCTCGTTACTTTTTTCTGTTAACTTGCTCAAGGATACATGAAGTTCCTCCTCTCTTTCTTTTAGTCTCTGCTGCAACTCTCCAATTTCTTTTTTACTATGTGAATTACAGTCTTGGGCTTTCCTTAATTGTTCCTGGAGATTTTTAATGTTATCTTGTAGCTGCTGCTTAGTGATGTGTAAATCATTAAGTGCATATGAACATTGGCTTAGTTTTTCTTTCTGACTATCTAACTCTTTAACAATTTTCATCTTCTCAATTTCTAATTCTGATACTTTTTTTCTTTCAGAATCAACGTCAAATTTCAGCTGTTTGATGATACTATCAGCTTCTGTGTGTTGTTTTGAGAGCTGCTCTTTCAGTGTAATCATATGCTGAAATGAACATAAAGAAAAGAATTCATTAGAAGAGCAGAACTAGTTGAACTATGCATTTCATTTTTATCCTCTAAAAAATAAAAAAAAATTGAGAAGAAGCAAAAATGTTTCTTAGTTGCCAACATAAGTTAGCAAGTAGTATCAACTAGTCAATGCTAAGGTAATTAAAACCAAGTATCAAATAGGGACAGATTACTTTTGCAAAAAAAAAAATCTCCCCTAAAAGAACTCTAACTACCTAATCAAGGAAAACAAGGACTACCTAAAAATAGAGAACTGTCAGAATTTGTCAAGGCAGTTCGAATGCAGTAAACAGGCAGTGCTTAAAAAAAGGGTAGTACTACATTTAAAATAGTTGTACATTTTATTTTCAACTTCTTGTTTGAGCTTATTTTTAAACAAGACTTGTTTGGATTTATTTCACAGGAAAAACTTTAAATGGTCAATTCCATATAGTAAACCAAACTTGCAAACAGATGGCTTGCAACTCTTAAGTTTACAGGTCAAATATATTGGAACTGTGACAAAAAGGTATAATTTAATTCTGATTACATATAATTGGTGACCTTTTTTACCCCACAAATGCTTGTATTATAAAGAACTTGTAATTAAGCAACTTAAATATTGAACATAATTAAAAATTATGAGAGGAAAAAAGTTTAAAAAAAATCGCTCATGTAATTTAGACAGATCAGAATCTTAGCAGGTTAAATTCCATCAGAAATCTTGCAGTGAAAAATCAGGTACTATTTAACTGGACTTTGCAAAGTAACACCCCTCATAGATAGCTGACATGCTATATTATTTCTTCGTCCATAACAAGGGAGTTCCTTGCACTTTAGAATTTTGCACTGAGATGGCAGACGTAAAGAAACACTGGCCCCAATATTTTTTTAAGCCTCAGAAGATAACTTTTATTTCCGTGTTATCTATGTTCAAAGATCAACTTAAAAGATAAACTCACACAGAGAAATCTAAACATTTATTTAGCAGTTCAATAACTAGTTGCATCATTTATTACCTGAGTAGCTTCTTGATTCTGCTTATCTAGTTCTTCCAACTCCGCTACTAATGTTTCTCTTTCAGCAATGCTTTCATCTAATTCATGCTCTTTCCTTTCCAAATCTTGTCTTAACTGATTTAATTCTGAATTCTGATCCTCTGTATTCGAAGAAAGAATATTCTCATGTTTATGTTGTACACTCGTCAGTTCCTTCTCAAGTCCCTCAAGATAAAAAAAATTATAAATATTAGACTTTATCTCGGTGAAATTTATGAACTGTTTTGATTTGAGATTGTTCCTTTTCCCCCTCAACTAAAAACAAAGTATGCATTTTTATGTTAGAATTTGTAAGCCTATATGAATACTACTCCACTTAAAAACCCTTCATCGTGAAGTATTTGTCTCTACCATTCACATACACACACTTATTCCCCCATCACTTTGTTTAGGAGTGCAGTTTATAAACTTCTGTACAAAAAGCCATGGTACGGTAAGAAATTATATCCACCTCTGAGGTGTGGATTGACAGCTGGGATAAACCACCCTATCTGCATGAGACACCCTGAATGTGGAACGCTGCATGGGGAGACAGGAAGTTTTAATCAAGGGCACCTGAATAACATCATTATGAAAAATGCCATGGGAACCCCTGAATGCATGCACAACATAGAAGACCTCATTCAAAAGATACTTTGGATACAAAGCAAACTAAACCAAATCTCTCAAGTCTGAGAGTTTATAAAGGATCAAGTTAATCATGACAAAAATTAAAAGTGTGTTCCAGAGAAACAGCATGTTCCACTGCTTAACTTCGTCAGCAAGATGGAATGTAGTAGTATTAGACTACTACATAACATGAAGAGAGATATTTTACAACTGGTGTCAAAACTGAAACATCCTAAAGCAGAAGTAGAAAATGACACATTTTACAGAATGTGCTATTAGTACTTTCAAAATGTATGTTACAGCTAAGTAACAATGAGATACATGGAACTCCACTAGTTTTCCTTAAGAGAAAACTCTGTGGAGTTTCACAAATCAAAATGTATTGTTTCCATCAATTCCCTGTGCAATTACAGAATTAAACAATAATTATTTCCTTTAGATTTCAATGTTATTTATGTGGAAGTGTGAATGCTCAAAAAAACCCATATAGTGCCAAAACACGTTTTCAATCAGTTACTACTGTTAGGAACTTTTTTTTGGCTTAATTTAGAAATTGCTTTACCTGATTTAAACTGGAAAGTCTTGCTATTTCGTTTTCCGCTTCTATAAAGGAAAATGAAATAAAATACATAATTGTACTACTTTTCAAACAATGATAAAACCAAATCACTCTCCCACCTTGCCTCAACAGAACTCTGCTGCTCAGAAGAGAATAGTTTCACAGCATTTTACGATGACAAGCACAAGCACTGTAAATGATTCAAATGTACCTTCAGTCACCACCACAAAGCAGTGCATTACTTTTCTATCTGATTCCACGTTAGGAGGACTTTGGTACTACAGCTTATCAGTTATGCAATAATAAAGTATTATCTACCTACATATATATTTCTTGAACTGGCACGTGACAGTGTTTCCCTGAGGAGAAGATATTAGCAACCAAGTGCCCCTATATACACAAAAGAAATACTTTTAGAATTTAAACAAACAACTTCTATTGAGGTTTACTTACTTTTAAAGAAAAAAACCCTACCAAACAGTTGGCAGACATGACTACTTACCCTATCAGAAAGCCCTATGATAAACACTCTAGCCATAATTACATCTCCTCTTCTGCTTAGCCTTACTTCAACAGATAATGCTTTTCTAAAGCAGCAACATTTAAAAGGTACATATTCTCATATTCTGTTCCAAATTTATAAAAAAAATGAGTTTTAAAAGTGAAAACATACTAAAAATGAAAAACCTTATTAAAAAAATCATAATCTTAGTACCTGATAATGCTTGCTGTAGTCTGACAACATCTTGTGGTAATGATATCTTTGACTGGAGCTTCTCCTGTTCGTTCACAAGAGCATCTTGCCCTGCCACAGATCTCTGAAGCACACTGAACTCATATTTAAGCTTTTCATAATCTTGTGCTAGTTGGATTTTTTCTAGCTTTGCCAATTCTTGCTCTTTCAGAAGATTTTTGTTTTCTGCTTTGGCAGAAGACAATTTGTGATTTAACTCTCTTATTTCATCCTCAAGCTGCAACTCTTCCACTTTTCCTCCTTGTAGACTCTGAGCATTTTTTTTCTGTTCAGTAATTTTAGAGTCATCCATGGCATCAGTGCTCACACCATCTAAAGGGCAAAAGAGATCGTTTGCAATATGAACCATCAGTCTAGATCTTTTATTTAAGAGACTTCTTTTAGCTCTTCTCCTGACAGAGGGAAATAGCCTAAAGCAAAGATACGATCATCATCAACAGAAAGTTTAAACAGGTTTAAAATTTGAGGCTGTGTTATACATGTTACTGGTTTGTTAAGTAGCTTCTTGAATACTTAGATATACCTGGCTCAACGTAATTTTAAAAGGTAAGGGTTGCAAGACATATTTTGTTCGCAAGTTAATTAGAATATACTTGATCCCCATCTCTCTTTTTGAGGAGATGACAGAATCTAATTTATCAGGACTTGGAATCCCTCAATTTTCTATGAATAATTTATCAAATGCCATCTAATTGAAATTGACACAAATCTGTTTATAATTTAATTATTTAAATTTCAAAGGTTTTCCAAATGGTTGCTATAGAGAACAATTTGCTACAAATCGTTTACTAAATGACGCACAAAATTTTTTCACCTGAAGAGAAACATTTTTCAGAAATAATATTTTTACAGATCCATCATACTATCATGACATCCATATTTCTGTACAATCCTCTGTAATTTCTGAATAAGTTAGGATGTACAAAAAGGCATCCTCAAGAGTGAACAGAAAAAAAAAATTTAAATGAAAGCACATTGCTTGTGAATTCACTTCACGTGCCCCTGCCCCAGATCGAATGAACTAAACAAAAATATAAAATAATGTACTTCTTCAAAAGCATGAGTTGTATTTCTTTTGCAGATAACTGGTAATGCAGAAAAAAAAGGATTTCTGCCTTTGACTTCATTAAATTAGGCCTGCTGGTGTATGTACATGGAGTAAAAAACAATTCCATCTTAACAGGCATCTGATTTTAAGAAATAAATTCCTTATCAGTATGTATGTAAAAATACTATTTCTGAAAATGTTTCTCTTCAGGTGGAAAAATTTTGTTCATCATTTAGTAAACAATTAGTAGCAAATTGTTCTCTATAGCAACCATTTGGAAAACCTTTGAAAGGTTCACAAGCAAATCTTATATATTTGTGCAAAGAAGCCCCTAGCAGAAACCTTCCTGACATAACTATATTTAGGGAATATGGAATACCTACAAGACAACAAAAAGTTCTTTGTGGGAACTACTGAGTTTCTTGTATGTTCTAATCACACCACAGACTGAGGAGCAGCCCTTACAGCAATCATAAAATAATAGCATGGTTTGGGTTGACTTTAAAGATCATCCAGTTCCAACAGCTGTGTCCTGGGCAGGGTTGCACCCACTAGATCAGGTTGCTCAGGGCCCTATTCAACCTGGCCTTGAGCACTTCCAGGGATGAGGCATCCTCAACTTCTCTGGGCAACCCATTCCAGTAACTCAGCAGAGTGAGCGCCTCACCACCCAATCCTTGAGCTTTTTAAAGTAACCCAATTGGCACAGAGTACTTCTCACAAAAACTATGTGCTGATATTTTCTTATCTTCAATTCTGTACGTCTCATCCACACCTATATTCAGTGTAAGTTGAAAAAAAACCCTAGTAAGTGTACAATTTAAAGCACAACGACTGATATGTATAGAAAATGACCGCCCAGACTGATATATATCAGAGATGAAATGCTATCATTCCAGTGTTCAAGTCAGTCAGAGTGAATATAAGATACAGGAAAGGACACATATCTATGAATCTATGAAGCTGAAATGAAATTCAAATTCAAATTCCTAAACATCATGTTTTGATATCTACCACACTGCTACATTCAATGCATAACCAAAGTTCACTCTACATGAAGTGAAAAAGCAAGCACGTGGTAACAAAGACCTTGCTGCAATCGGTTCTCAAGCTCTTCAATTCGCTCTTCATATTCACTCAGTTCTTCTCTGTGTCGACGACTTATCTCCACTAACTTTTGTCTGTGTGCATCCTGCAATACTGACAGTTCATGCTGATGTTCATCTATTTCTTGACTTAAATTCTGTTTGAGCTCCTAAAAAATATCATTAGAGAAACGAAATAGCAAGATATAGGACAGCACCTTATGAAAGAAACAACAACATAAAAAGTAAAATGTTTTCCCTATCAAATTAAAGGATTTATTAAAAGAACTTCTCACAGGACAGGTCAAATGTCTTGACTTTTGTTGATGTGGATTTTTTAAAAATGTTAAATGAAATTCCTTTAAAAGTTACATTTTTACAAATAGTATGTTCTACACAGCAGCAAATATTAACACAGTGTACAGAGATTACAGGTCTTACAAAGGAAGTGGATACACTAGGACATATTTCTAATAACTTTCAAGGATGACATGAAAATTCATATTCTGCATCTTCAATGAAGAAAAGTCAAGATGTTTCTGAGAAAGGAGAAATTATTTTCTGTTTCAGTCTCATAACTCACCAACAGCTTCATAAAGTGATTTGCCCTCATAAATACTAATGTATTTTTTTCAAGCTTACATACTGTATTAAATCATACAAACACCCTTTCTCAGAGTAATTCTTTTTAAATATTGTACTGCTGACTGAAATATTGCTGTGCTACTACATGCCCACATGCATTTTTAATCATGTAAGTGCTAGTGGTAATTAAAATATTTACAAGTCATGTGACCATATGCAAAACCATGAAGAATAAAGCATAAGAGGAGATGAGTTTGTCATCTTACCTTAACAATATTCTGTAGTTTGCATATTTCACTTTGTTCAGCATCATTTGTGCCTTGAACTTTTGAGGACTGAAAAAAGAAAAACCACATATCTATGTGAAAATTATGATAAATATGTGTATTTTTCATGTAAGTGCTTCCTCTATTGATACTCAGAAGTAGGAAACAACAAAGCTAACTAGAAGCAAAACCAAAATCCACAGTGATTTTGATTAAAAAAAAAAAAAAGATTATAATGGAAACATTTTATTTTTCCATGGATTTTTATTATTACATGCATACATGTAAAAGTTTGGAGTGGGAGGTATTACTGCATGTAGTAAGACAACAGGGTTGTTTAATTTTGAGTATTTCCACATGGGAAAAGCATACCTCTGAAATCAGGCTACACCTTGAAAAATGGTGACCCACATCAACAACAGCTTGAAAGATTATAATCTTTCTTGTCTCACCAGACCATAAATTATAACTGACATATCAAGGACTGAGAGAAGAGCAAGTAAAAACAGCATGCAAGTATCCACCTATTGGAACAGTAGTGTGCTATCAATATAACATCAGTATCATAGCCAGGAAAAAGGAAAGTATATTTTTTCAAATGTTGAACAAATATGAAACACTGAAGCAGCATTCCAGGCAAATGGTCATGAAACCCTTTACCTACCAAATCATGTATAAAAGCAGCACAAAAAAGCATATGGAAGTTAGTCACTGGATGTATCCCTAGTCATGTGTCAGCAAGAGGCTTCAGCTTTTCCATGGAAATATGTTGCTTCTAGAAATTTTTCAGCATGACCTCTTAAAAGACCCACTCCAAAAGCATCAAATGCAATGAAAATGATAATTTGTAAGGGAGAGGGAAGGGCGAAGTTGAGGAGAAACCACTCACCACTGCAATCTGCTTCCAGTGGTCAACCTCAGATTCGAGCCTCGAAACTTCATTGGACAATCTGTTTATTTCTTGTTGTGACCAGATTATATCTCCAAAATCCATGTCATCTCCTTCAAAACCTGAGGAATGTCTGACCCCTGGAACATAGGAAGCTGATGCAGTGGCTGGTGGTAAAACACCAGCTCCTAACTGTGCAGTCTGAGCAGCTGTCTGTACTTTCTGCAGTTGCTCCTGTAGCGCATTCTGTCTGGCTTTTAGATGGCTGATTTCCACCTGAAAATACAAAATAAAATGCATTGTTTGAGGAAGAAGAATATAAAAATACAGTTTACTTTGCCTTTGTGGCCTTATGAAATGTGAACCAAACAACTCTCCCCAGCACAAATTACTGATCACTTTCTCCCCAAAAAACCCCAAAACCAACCAACCAAAAAAAAAAAAAAAAAAGTCCAAACACTCTCATAGTGCAGAAAAGTAGTCTTAGTTCATGTGTGTGTTATAAAGGACACATTTTTTTTTTTAGCAGCCAAACTACACAAGTATTATAGCAAGATTCAGGTTATCAGGTTATAAAAAAATTTAAATATATAAAGAGGCTATTCAGACATGAAAGTTAGGCAATACATGATGCCTCCCCAGTTATTTTTATTACATTTTACTTCTTTTAACAGCTCAGTGTATTGAAAGTCTATGTATTTGCAAGAGAGTGAAATTAGCTACATGCAATTTTCTCATTAAAACTCTGTTATTGTATTTAGCAAGCAGAATTTTATACATCTCATTCTGCTTCCCTGAGCTCTCACATGCATTTATGAATAAAGCAGAAATACAGCTACATTTGTGTACCTCTAGGCATATTGGCAACTTTCTTCATTTAAAAGGTTATGAAATCTCATGTTACACAGTAGGTTATGAAGCTGGTGTTTCCATCACAGAGGGACATTTCACAGATTTGGAAAGCTAGCTTGGTTCCCTTTAATTGTGTATGTTAAGATAAAAAATGATATCTACAGACAAAATAACTGCTTTAAATAAGAATTTGCTCCTGTTGCCTTCCTTAAAGGTAACTGAATCAGAAATACAAAGCAGTTGAGTGTCATTTCTCACAGCGATCCCAGAAACAACAGAAATTCTGACAGCTGCATGATATTCCCAGAGAGTTTTCTCTTGTCTCAACTATCTCCTGGCAGCTCTGCTTATATTAGATGACTCAATGAAATATGTGTCTTAGTTGACATCAACAAAACAAGAAACCACAGGTGTGACCAGTATTTCCACGGAAAGACAACAGATACTGTAACAAAGAAATAAAACACCACAACAGATAAATATTGGACACACTTACTGAGATATTTTACTCTGTATCCTACCTCTTTCTGTTGAAGCTGATTGCGGTACTCTATAGATAACTGCTTTATTTGCAACTCTGCTGCTTCATGCTTTTCTTCCAAGTCACTACAGACTTTTTTCAGTCTATCATTCTAGCAAAAATAAGAAATTAGTGTTGGTAAACTCAGTACAGTTTTTGAAGAATCAGAAAAGCACAAGGCTAATGAACAATAAAGAAATAAAACTAAATTGTATAGATTTCTCATGTTATTTCATTTAAAAAACACAGTAAGAATAATGTACAAGCGTGGGCCCAAAAATCAGGTTCCATGCTTTCTGTTTTATATGGCATGGACTTCGGCTCACTTTCAGAAAAATGTTTTGTAATGACCAGAGGTAAATACCAAGAATAAAAAAAAAAAAAATCCAGGGCTGAATTACATCTTAGCAAGATCCACAGGTGGAATTTAAGAACAGTCACAAAACACAAATTGGAGTTAATATCCAGTGTTCTCTCTCCAACAGCAGCTGGCAAGAAACTCGAAAAAGGAAAAGCAGGAACAGTTATGTCCCCAAAATACTATCTTAACTTCACAGTGCTCTTAAGCGCTGAAGGCGTAAAAGAAAAGTTGTTGGTTTAGGGACATAAATAAAGCCACAACAGCAATAAGTCCTGTAAGAGCGCAGAAAGTCACTTTCCACAAGGGTGCATGGGATTTGTAAACAGTTTTGGAAGACCAGGAGTAGCCGTGGCTATGTCAGAATGACCACAGGGTAGGGAAACACAGAGAGAGAGAACATCACCAGGGAACACACCCACACTGTGCCTGAAGCTGCTGCCAAAGACACACTGTCCTTTGTCAGCAGGCATTCTACATCTGCTTGTACTTGTGGTCATATATGAAACTTGACCTAGGGCTAAAATGTATGAGAACTTAAAGAATTTTTGCATTTTCAAGCTTTTCAGGGCCAAGTGTATTGCTGCAGTCCAAGTCCACGTGACAGGCAGGAACAGTCAGGGATGCAGCAAAAGGTGAAAACTTGCACCACACATGCATACTCCAATAAACCAATGTGTCTCCCTGACTGTGATGGCAGTTTGTCACAAAAAGTCACATTCCAATACCACTGTCACCCTTGTTTCTAGATTTACCCAGGGACAAGCAACTTCAGTGCAATATTTCACCTTTATACGAAACAAATGTTTTGTATTGCTTATAATTACAATAGTGTTCCACAATGTCTTACTTCAAACTTTTGTGCTGCATTAATACTTTCTATTTCTCTGAGTCTAGAATTGGACACGTGGAGTTCCGTTGCTGCATCTGAAAAAAAGTGAAAATTTTCATTTTTATTAAAATCCTTCTAATCTGTCAAGTAGACAGCAGTTATGAACAGTTATTAATACATATCTTACTTTAATGTTACATATCTGCTTTAATGTTCATTCCTAGGTAAATATCAGAAAGTGTTTTCATTAGAACACTGACAGTATTGTTTTTCAGACAGTCTTTCTGAACCAAATTTAGTTAACTTGTATCTAGGCTTTAAGTCAAATCAAAACCCGAACACATTAGTAAAGATTTCAGCTTTAAAATAAGGGAAATAAAAACGTTTCACTTGACTATTTTGTGATCCTGAATCTGTTTCTCATTTAGGACTTTGTACCTCTCATGATAGTTGTATGTTCCTCTGTAATCTCATGTGAAGTTTCGAAACAAGAATTAGTTCCATTAAATGCACACAGCAGTGACTAAACTTTCAGAAAAAAACCCCAGCAAATCACCCAAACCCAACAAAACCCACATAACAAAACAACAACCCCATAAGACTCACTTTCATTTACAAAGGTAACACATCTACCATCCCAGTTTATCCCACACAAAAAGCACATCCCTGGATACGTTTCCTTTAATGATCAACCTTTTTCAAACTGGTTATGTTTACTGATCCCATGTCCCACTTTTAATGGGCAGAAATACCACATTTCATTCAATTAATGAGAAAATCATCCTGAATTGACTATAAAGCAATCCCGACAATTTTTCAAATTTTGAAATAAACATAATTTCCAGGTAAATACTGCACTTCATCATTTCCTATGTGCTATTTAAAACTGATGCAGCTCAACCATTGCAGAGGCAACAATCCACCCATGAAAACTGTGAAACAAAGATGTTAAAGTCTATAGTCCACAAACAACATCTTCAGTTCTCATGATAGTCAAAGCATTGAATGTAAGGAATAATACTAAAAATTAGGGAGCATTTAAAAATTAGGAAATTTAAAAAAGGAAAGTAAGGAACTATTTGAAAAGTGTTCTTTAGGCCACAAAGTACTTTAAGGTTTCTACAGATGAGTACTTGGATACCACCAGATTTTTTACACCCTCAAGTCTCGTAACCCATACAAATCTATTGCTCTGAAATTTTTAGCACATCAAAGTTGTTCACAGCAGTATCTAACAGTGAAGTACATCTGGAAGTAACAACTGAGCATCAGTACATCTCTCGTGCACAAATTCATGCACAAATATGTGAAATGAAATCACGATTTATCTTGTATAAAAAAACCCCAAACACACCAGGTGACTGCATAGCTCAGGAGTATCAGTCTCCAAACTAAACTAAAACGGATTTTGAAATTTAAAACAATTCTAAGCAAGTCTTTCAGAAAAGTGAAAAAAAAAAAAAAAAAAGTAATTTCACACTTATGAGAATAAATTTCTCTCTTCTGAACATTTTACCTGTGTTACCAAAAAAAAAAAAAAAAAATCTATATGAGACAAGTAGTATCAGCTTGCCAACAGGATTTATACAATATACTCTTTCACAATATACTTTCATAATGCTGCAAACGAAGCGGAATTGCTTAATCGCACATTAAGAATCACACATAGCTATTAAGAAGTCTTAGCTGTTCTTTGTGGTTGCTATTCTCAACACCGTTTTGAGAAAGCTAATTTTTAAAATAATTTATAGTCAGAAGATGGTAAACAATACTAGGGGTATTAACCTATTAATATTTATTGCGTTATAGAACTGTTTAAGAGAAAAAAAGTCTTATTAAAAATTTGTAACAAAACTCACTATTAACAATACAAAGGAAATACTATATTCTGGGCTAGATTTACTGTTGTTTTATTGAATATCTTACACTGATGTCTTGGCCTTTTTGTTCTAACTTTGCTTTAAACATAAATCGTCCTAGTCTCTAATCCCTATAAAACAAGGGCCACGTTCTTCTACTTGGCTGTAGGAGAGTTGTAGAACCTGACAGGTTTGTCTGGGCCCAACTGAAATATAAACAAAACCATCAGAAACACTGGACCTTTGCCTGTGTGACACGTCACACTTAGATCACACCAGTGGCAAAACAACCTCTGTACTGCTACAACTCGGCAGTAGATTCACGAAACCAGTAAAAAAGTAGCTAATCAGCTGGGGGGTGGGTGTTAGATAAACTAAGGAAGCAGAATGGAAGAAGAGTGTTATCTGTGTGCTTTCATTACGGATCAACACAACCCTTCACGCAATTAGAAACTTCCGAATAACAAGCCTAGAACAGGTTCACTTCTGCTATTACAGCCTGGGACTGTGTTTGTTTATTCTCCAGATCCTGAGGTCGCAGGGGCAGAATAAAAACAAAAACAAAAGCAGCGGTGCCGGCAGCCCTCCCGAAAGGCGCCCAGCCGGGACCCGCTCCCCGCGGCCGGAGGGTCCCAAGGGAGCCCGGCAGCCGGACAGAAGGCTCCCCAGCGCACCCAGGCCCGCCCCGCGGCTCCGAGCCCCCTTACCGCCCACTTCCTCGGCGCCCTCCAGCAGGATGTCCTTGGTGAAGCTGGAGATGTGCCCGGTGAGCGAGGACAGGCTGTCGCCCACCTGCCCCAGGGACTGGCCCAGCCCCGAGCCCAACCCGCCCAGCCACGACGCCATCGCGGCTCCGGGCGCTCCGGGCCTCGGGCGGCCACGCCGGCCGGGCCCCGCGGCCGCTTCCCGAGGGGTCGCCTCCGCCTCGCTTCTCCTGGCTGGGGAGGGTCGCGGCTCCTGCTGCGGGCTCAGCACACCGGCACCGGAGACTCCGCCGGCGCCGCGCGCATCCTCCCGGCTCCTCCCGGCTCCGCAGCTCCTCCCGGCTCGGCTCGGCTCGTCTCCTTTTAGCTCGGCCCTGCCCGGCTTGGCTCGGCTCGGCTCGGCTCGGCTCGGCCCGTCCCGTCGCGGCTCAGCGGCTCCTCCCGGCGGCTCCGGCCGCTGCCACCTCAACGGCCGCCATGACACTCCTCCCGAACACCATCGAGAGCGGCAGCTCGGGCTAGAGCGCCCCCCCCGGCGGCGGATATGGCGTGAGGCGGCAGCGGAGGATGCCGGGACAGTGGCGGAGCAGCGGGAGGGGCAGGGGCACGGCGGCCCGTGGTGATTGACGGGATCAGGGACAGCCCGTGAGATTGAGGGATCAGGGACAGCCCGTGAGATTGAGGGATCAGGGACAGCCCGTGAGATTGAGGGATCAGGGACAGCCCGTGAGATTGAGGGATCAGGGACAGCCCGTGAGATTGAGGGATCAGGGACAGCCCGTGAGATTGAGGGATCAGGGACAGCCCGTGAGATTGAGGGATCAGGAACAGCCGTGAGATTGAGGGTCAGGACAGCCCGTGAGATTGAGGGATCAGGGACAGCCTGTGAGATTGACGGGATCAGGGACAGCCCGTGAGATTGAGGATCAGGGACAGCCTGTGAGATTGAGGATCAGAACAGCCCGTGAGATTGAGGATCAGGGACAGCCTGTGAGATTGACGGGATCAGGGACAGCCCGTGAGATTGAGGGATCAGGGACAGCCCGTGAGATTGAGGGATCAGGGACAGCCCGTGAGATTGACGGGATCGGTGACAGCCCGTGTGATTGACGGGATCAGGGACAGCCCGTGAGATTGACGGGATCAGGGACAGCCCGTGAGATTGAGGGATCAGGGACAGCCCGTGAGATTGACGGATCAGGACAGCCGTGAATTGACGGATCGGTGACGCCCGTGTGATTGAGGATCAGGGACAGCCCGTGAGATTGAGGGATCGGTGACAGCCCGTGAGATTGAGGGATCAGGGACAGCCCGTGAGATTGAGGGATCGGTGACAGCCCGTGAGATTGAGGATCAGGACAGCCCGTGATTGACGGGATCGGGGACAGCCCGTGTGATTGACGGGATCAGGGACAGCCCGTGAGATTGACGGGATCAGGGACAGCCGTGAGATTGAGGATCAGGGACAGCCCGTGAGATTGACGGGATCAGGGACAGCCGTGAGATTGAGGGATGTGACAGCCCGGAGATCGAGATCAGGACAGCCCGTGAGATTGACGGTGTTGGTGACAGCCCGTGAGATTGAGGGATCGGTGACAGCCCGTGAGATTGAGGGATCGGTGACAGCCCGTGAGATTGAGGGATCAGGGACAGCCCGTGAGACTGAGGGATCAGGGACAGCCCGTGAGATTGAGGGATCAGGGACAGCCCGTGAGATTGAGGGATCGGTGACAGCCCGTGAGATTGAGGGATCAGGGACAGCCCGTGAGATTGAGGGATCGGTGACAGCCCGTGAGATTGAGGGATCAGGGACAGCCCGTGTGATTAACGCGAACCCGCCCCGCGGGACGGAGCCGGGCCCTGCGCCAGCAACACAGCAGTGTCCGAGTGCTGCGCGAACAGAGGCAATTGGTGTCGGAACGTTCCTGAAGCCCCCGCTGCTTCGGGTGTAAATGGAATGGATACTTGGTTGGATTTCCAGCCACAACCCCAACACCGGTCCATTACGAAGTTCTGTTTGGTTTTGATGGAATGAGGTATTTAAAATGACTTGGGACTACAAGGAGTATTGGACTGATACAAAAAATGCAGTATTAAATCAGTCGGAACAATAGTGATATAAAAAACCGCCCATACTGGGAATAAAATCCAGGGCAGCTGGCTCAGTGCTGTGATATAGCATGAAATGTAAACATCATTATCAGTTTTATTAATTTATCAGTTTATCAGTTTTATTAATTTACAACACTGGGTTTAACGAAGATGAAAAGTTTACAATGCTCAAAAGACCCCATATCATTGGTTCAACAAAATCCATATGGGTCCACAGGACAGTAAAGATGTGTCGCCTTTTCCAATAGTGGTTGGCTAATTAATTTTTATGGGAAACTGTTAATATTTTTCAGCTAAGGTTACAGACGTCCTCCAGACTTTTGAAATACTTAGGGATGATAAAAATGTCTTCTACTGTGATTAACTGTACAGTTAAGTGCCAAGTAAGACAAGTAGACAACAAAGTAGCACAGAGGGCTTTTTGTCCCACTCTTTTTAATTACTGCTCTTGAAAAATTAGAAACGGACTATTTAGCATCACAGCTAATTTTTTAGCTGACTGACTTCATCCACTGTTGATAAGGGTACACAGAAACAATTCAGCATACTCTGTGGATTGACTAAGCTACAAAAACAGTGCATTGTGCCACAAAAAGAATGTGTATTCTGGCATCAAACCAGGAAACAGTAGCTTACTTAAAAATCAGAAAGCATATAATTTTTAAAGATATAACATAAATACAATGGGCACCAACTTTCTTCCCTAACAGGACTGTCTTTACGTAAATTTGAGAGTATCAACAGATGCAAAGACATCAGAGATGATGAAATGTCAGTTATGAGCAACAGAAAATGACCCCACTGCTGATGTGCATACACACATCTGGTGCAAAGCCCCCTGATACCCGAGATGAAATTGCAATGTTTGATGATCCTGTGCCCAACCCACATATAAGGGAAAGCAAATACGCAAATACACGGGTCAAGTGAGAAACAGTAGAAGCTATAATCATATTTATTTAAAAAAGTGATATCAAATACAACCATATATATTCATGCCTATTTGGAGAGCATTTTCAAAATATCGAACAGTGCTGCCATTTTCCAGTCAAAACAATGACAAAGCATTTCCACTTTCCCTTTTTAATCTTTTCAGTATTCTATGCTTTATATACACAAAATAGACAAAAATTATACAGGAATCCAGAGCCAAGGACATGATACTGAAAACAGAGTCTTGACCAAGAAAAAAAAAAAAAATCTATTACTGAAATAAGATTTCTAAAATACACAGCTATTAGACAAGAGATGAAAAAAAAAATCCCTTACAAAATCCTCTACTCTGGTTTGTACACAGGGGATTTCATGTAGCAAAAAATAAAATTTTATCAATGCTTTCATGGTTTAAAGACAGTATCAAGGTTTTTCTCTTTTTTTTTTTTTTTTTTTTTTTGTGCAGTGGCATTTAAATATTACATCCTTTTCTCTTTTATAAAAGTCCCTTCCTGAATTCCCACAGTGGCTATACTGAGGATGGGGGCAGGGGGGGATTAAAAGCAATGTACAGTTACAATTATTTGCTATTCTTAACAAAAAAATAAAGTGAAAGTATTTTGATTTGGTAAAAGCAGTTGAAAAGTCACACATACTAATTTTCTGAAGAACAGTGATTGGGGAAGGAGATGACTATGGCAAGTTAAATATTACAACATGTAGTATTTACTCCACGTCTGAAATGCAAATAAGGCAAAATGTGTGTATACAAGTTAAAAAGGTTTATTGCAAAACAGCAATAAAGATGAAATTAAGATGAAAACCTGGATACAACACAAAGCTACTACTACTTTGAAATTGAAGAACTAAATATTTGGATCTAGCAACTTTGAATGGATTGAGTATTATTCTCACTTGAACAACTGACTCTGTGTGGAGAGGGAAGAGGTATATATGTATTACTGGTTAGACTTTGTTTCCTTTTTTCGGGGGTAATGATTTTTAAGTAACTATCAAGATTTACCAGGAATTAAATTTTTTTTATGCAAGACAGTAATGGCTTACTAAGTGCACAACACAATTTTCTGTCTAAGCCCTTGAAGAAAGTTTCCACATCAATTTTTCTTTTCCTTGGATTCTTTCTTTGATTCCTTTAAAAGTGACATGCTGGTAACATGAATTGCACAATAGTATTTCTTTGTAAGTCTGAGTTCTAGAGTTCTCTGATCCCATCCCCCTCTACTGAGTTTTTCAGTACAAAGCACACCATTTGTATGTTTTCATCATTATTTGAAAGAGTAATTAATTTTAGAAAATTTCACAGGCATTTTAAAACTGTGACATGTTCTTGTTCATTTTAAAAAGCCTATCAGTTTTGTAATAAAACAAAGCAGCTTGCAAATGATAGAATCTGTCTGAGATACAGAAACAGAATTGTTTATTTGACACCTGCCATTTTAGCCCCCCACTATTTTATAAGTCTGTAAAAGAAGCAATAGTCCAACATTAAAACACATCATAGATTTAAATTTGTATTGGTTACTTTTAAGCAGTCTGCAAAGTAATAAAGTATGAAACGTAGAAGAGTACCTTGGCTGAAAATTAAACTTGCTGAAGTTCTTTGAAGGGCACCTGGAGCCCAAATGTTGGAGTAAGCAAGTCAGATATCAGATTAGTTTCAAGTCTAGAAAAATGTAAGCATTTAAACAGCTCATATTTATATATGCTGTGCCTGACAAGAACTGCATGCAAGCATGACTGCATTACAACTCTTTTTCCTCCTGCCCTCATAAGACCACCAAAGCAGTTTACAGCATTACACTTACAGAACTAATTCTGGAACATATTTAATATAAGCATCACTCATTCCCCCTGCTCCTTTGATTTCCAGTGTCAGCAAACCATAAATTATGACACATGGACCCTTCACTGCAAAACAGTAAAATGCTGTTGGATGAATGAAGTCTGAAATTCCCTCAAATATTGTATCATAATTAAAAAATAATCTGTCTGCTCCCTCACAATGGACTTTGGCCTAAAGGTATCATGTGGGAAAAAAACCCCAACCCTTCAGCATGACAGAGTAGATAACACTGGGAGTAAGCCCTAAATTAGTAAACATAAGCATAGTTAAGCCACACTGAGAACTGTTTATCACTGAAAGAATGCACACCAAAAAATGACATCACTGTTTTATTGACCGCTTCTTGGCAGGTGAACTCGAGGCCTGAGTTATAAAATATATACTGTCAGCAATTAGTATTATTCTTTTCCTTGGATGCAATGGAGAGGCACAGAGGAGATCTTGCCACTCTCTACAACTCCTGAAAGGAGGCTGTAGTGAGATGGGTGTCAAGTCTTATCTCCCAGGTAACAAGTGACAAGATGAGAAGAAATAGCCTCAAGTTGCACCAGTGGAGG